CGGCAAGGCTTAAACATTCAGAGCCGGTCCTGGGCTCTGCATCCCCTTCTCGCAACAGGGAGAAGGGATAACCATGCAATTTGTCCTAAGAGAAAACAAGCAAAAGTCCCATCCTGTGCATAGGACTGCTGCATGCTATCCCTGAGGAATTTATTTGTTGGTTTTGGTTTTTTTTAAAACACTAACGCCTATCTCCTCTCAAGTCATTTAATCAGAAAATTTGGCACTGGTTGTGCCAAGCTCACAGCAGCCTGGGGCTGCCCATCGCTCCCTGGCAGGTTCAGCCATACTTGCCTGGCATCTGTACCCCGGAGCTGCGGAGACCCCCTCCTCTCCTCCTCGGTGGGATTATGTGCACAGTCCTATCCGGCACAGCGCTGCCAGCAAAGCTTTGAAGTGCAGCCCTGGTAACGAAGCTTTCGCTGCAGGAATGGGAAAATGCCAGGACAGAGAGATCTCCGCCTCCATCGCTCACTGGCCTGGGCAGAACTGTGAAAACAAAGCAGTTTTTTAAAAGGCGAATCTCCAGGCCAGGAACGGGACATATTTGCTCTGCAGTTACAAGGTCTTTGCCCTCTTGCATTTTGCTCCAGCCCAGTAACCAAAGGGTTATTTCCACCAGTGTGGGTAACACACGGAGCTATCCCCACAGCTACCTTAAGGACCAACATCAAGCTGCAGAAACCGCTGGCTCGCAGACAGAGCCGGACAAGCCCCAGTTTTGGGGGAAAGAAGCAGCAGGGTGGAAGGTGGGTCTATTTACCCCACTGACTTTTTCTGGCGAGGGGCCAGGCCTTAAACAGAAACCGTCTGGTGCATCTTCCAAGGAGCTGGCCCAGCGTGGAGCTGCCTTTTGGCAGAGGGAGATGCCGGCTTCCTCCGTCAGCGGGGCGATGAGCAGCTTCACACACGCTCCGTTGAGTCACTGCTTCGTTGGTGGCCTCCCCAGCGCGGGATGGCTGAGCCCAGCCACCCCGGGTGCACGCAGGGGGAACCATTTTAGGCTCCGGTGACAGAGACATCAGTGAACACTGCTATAAATAACGGTGTCGAAGGAACGAGATGGTCAGGCTGTTCAAATCCTGGCATGGACCCGCTAGCGCTGATAGCAAGTGCCCTTTGCTTGTTCCCTTGCTGCCAGGTCCTCTTATCTATTCTACCAACTCTGGGTGTTTCTGTCACCTTGTCACCAGGTCCCCTACCCTGAGATTTTAGCCTCCTGGGATGGCTGCAGGTCCCTGCTCATGTTTGTTGCCGCGTATTTGCACTCCAGAAAGGACGTAAACCAGTGTGCTGCGGGGCCGAGGTGGGGTCTCCGCCAGCACAGCCTAGGACCCCTCACGGCCAACACCTGGGGGCTGTTGGGACAACCATGTATTTCCATGGCTCCTACACACTAGGACCTGCTGCTGGGCATGCAGGCATCACTGCACAGATACGGGGTTTCACTGCGCTTAAGAGGACTCCTGGATTTCTGCTTTTCTTCTGCAAGGACCTGGAGTCATCCTCCAGACCTGATGTTGCTTCTGAATCATTCTCTCTGTTACGGTGACGAGGAAACTGAGGCACGGAGGTGTCATGACTTACCCTATGTACATGAGGACCAAGAGAGCAGAGTCCACACTCTGCCTGACCTCCCTGCCATGCAGCTGGTCATCAGGGGTGTCACCCCCTCACCAAGAAGCCCCACAAGTTCTTGGGGTCGAATCCTGGATTCGTCACGAGAAGCAGTTCTTGCTATTCAAAGGCCATGATTACCTTGTGAACATCTGCGCTGTCAATAGCTGAGTGGCAGCGTAATTCTCCATCGGCTCTGCCTCCGCTTTCTCCTCCTCCATGTTCTTTATTTTAAAGCACACTCATTGCAAAGCCCTTCGATGCCTAATGAAGGAAAAAACTCAGCAAACAGGCAACAGAAACAAAAACTCGGGCTTGCAGCAAACCAGTGAGAAGACATCACAGCCTCAGCTGCACAAACTTCCCCCTTCCCTCCCAGCATGGCCTTGGCCCATGTCGCTCCATCACCCGTTGGCTCCTCGGCCCCAGTGCCAACGCTGGTCCCCAAGAGCGAGTCAAGGGCTCAGGGCAGTCTTTGCATGAACATCAGAGGCAGCTCTTGGCTTTGGCATGGACATCCTGACCTTCCAGGACTGGGTGGGCCCACTTGGACTTTCACTGGTGCAATATGGGCCTTATCAGTGCTGGGATTTGATTTTTCCTCCAGGCATCCGGTGGAAGAACATGCAGCGCTGGGGATGGGTGCAGGAAAGGCATTCCAGCAAGCAAGGCTGCACAAGAACACTCGCTGCTGAGGGCCATCCGTCCCTTAAACGAACACCCATAGCAGAGATGCTGCCCTGGGGCCTATGGACATTCTTTGGCTATATTTGGTGATGGATGGAGAATTTGTTGCTTCCCCTTAACCCATCTGTTCTCCTTATTGGCAGGGAGGAGCTAACACCAGAACTGCAGTGTCGCTATCCACATAAACCCGGTACTTCAGCAGCAATAAATCTCCTCTAAAAAGCTTTTGCTGCCTCCCACCTGTTGGCTGGGAGAAGATCAAGTTGACAAAAGTCTGCCAAATTGTATTTTTATCCAGGACTTCATCACGAGTCCAGGTTACAATAAAAGCCTGTTCACGAAGCAGAGGGAGGTAGCTGTATCACAGCACATCTCTCAGCTCTGGAGAATCCCACCTCTCCCAGAGGTCTCCAGTCCCCAGGTAGCTGCTTTTATTACATTTTCTGAATTCCCTGAAATCCCCAAAGCCTCTTTTCCTCCTCATCACCCCCACCCTTTCACCATAAAACCTGGGCGGTCCCAAGCAGAGACTCCAGACTCTCTTGCTGGCTGCACCAGGGAGCCAAAATACCCATTGTGAGAATGGCAACAGAGAGAGCCAGGCTGGGACCGAGGCAGTTTATTACAGAAAAACACCCAGAGGGATTTCATTAACATGGCAGTCCATTCACAAGAAAAACCGCTGGAGGACAATGAAGTGAAACCCACAGCAACAACACACAGCAGGAAAGTCCAGTCGTCGGCCAGCGCAGCACAAGAGGCACAACCGCACCGGCCCATCAGGGTGGGAGATGTGCCCAGCCCATGCAGCCGGTCCTGGGGACCACATCGCTCCCCCAGCCCGAGGAGATGTCACACGAGGAAAGTACACAAGCAGCAAATCCACATCTGCCAGTTGTAGTGATGGAGGAGAAAAAAAACATAGGAAGCCATGTGGATAAAAGCAAATGGGGCAGCCATTGTACGACCGGAAAATCCTCACCACGCAGGAAGGACTTGGGAGATGCCAAGGGAGGTCTACCTCACTTTGGGCCTGTTTCCCGAGCCCTGTGTCTCCCAGTGAGCCCCTAAGCTGCCCTGGCAGCAGGAAGACCCTAAGCAGTCACTAAAAACCCTGCCTGCACTGTCCCCCTGCCCCGCAGCTTGCACCCAGCTCCCTCTGCATCTCAGGGCCCAGAAAGGCAGCAGTGAAAGCTGCCGAGATCCAGGGCCCTGCCCCAAACCCACAACACATTGTTTCCCTGGAGGTAACAGCACCTTCAGACAGGGCATCTCCTCCCGCACAGCCCAGCCCTGCCAACACCCCTCATCCAAAGCGCGCATCCCCTACGGCACCCGGGGCAAGCACCCATCCGCAGTGTGCTTGCACCCTGTATCCGATCCCACCGGCACCCTGCCCTACCCGGGGGTTCCTACGGGTTCGCTGACACCCCGTTCCTCTTGGTACATCACCTCCCGGGCTGGCGGGAGGCCCCGGCACAGCCCGTTTGTGAGCTGGGCTTGGCCAGGCTTCCACGACACGATCTTCAGGAAACACCTTGGAAATGTTTACTGGGAGCCCAGGCTGTTCTCCCCCTCCCAGCTGCCAAAAAGGTCTCTGAGATACAGTTCAGATCCCAATATCTGGAGTTCACATCAAAAAGACAAGACCTTTTTATAAACCTGTATATTAATAGATGTGCTACTGAGATACTCATTTCTTTCAAGACGTTTTTTGTTTGTTTGGATTTTAGACCTTCCTCTAAGGTGCTTGTCACCCAGATGTGACAAATAACAGTCTGTCAAAGTGAAATAATTCAAAGGGGGAAAAAAGTGCAATTTGCTTTTCACTGCTAGAGCAGGATTTAGTGCAATGAGAAAACAGTTTCCTGAGCCACTGAAGGCATCACTAGCTTCTTTATTTATTCATCAACAGTGCGATAACTTGAGCTCTAGCCTCGCGGTTGGGAAGGGCTGAGCTGTTTTAGCTGAAACCTCCCTGCAAAGTCAAGCCAGAAGCAGACATACCTTGGAAAACTTCAGCCCATGGAGTTGGTGTTTGTAGAAAACTACTACCTGACAGCACTGGGCATCCTTTGTGCCCAACCACGGGGCGTACTGCCTTAAAAAAAAAAAAAAAAAGAAAGGGAAAAAAACCCACAAGAAAGAAGTCATCTTTAAATTTTTCTCCCAAGAGTGTCCCTTGGGACAGGGCTTTGTGCAGAATGTCAGTGTGATTTTCACACTAATTTCAAGGCAGCTCTCCAATTGATTTCTCTTCCTGTTTTTTAATCGGAGATTTGGTTCTCTCTCACAGCATCACTGGCAGAGGTGTCTATTTTAGGAAACACCAGAGGTTTTGAGAAGCTGAGGAGAAAAAGATTATCAACTCATATGGGCTCAGACTCGAAAGGGGGAAAAAAATCCTTTAAAACCTCCAGGCTGAAATTCTCTGCAGATTTACCTAAACGGACTTCAAATGATGTCCCTAATATATTAGGGCCTGCTTTTAACTTAATTCAAGCCCTGGGCATGTGTCTGCAGACTCTGGATGCCTCACTGAGATTATTATTTTTAAGTGCTAAATCATGCAACTGTGAAACCCAAATAAAAAAACCTGGGCCAACAATACACTAGCCCAAAGCTCCAAGCAGGAAACCGGATTATTTTTTTTTTTTTAATATATATATATGCGAGTTTGTTTCTGTTTTTCCAAATTTTAGTGCATGAAAGGAAAGCCGTTCAGCTGACAAAAATCTTGGTGAAAGGACAAAGACATGAAAGATTTTCTGGTTGGGGAGCTGGGTCTGTAAAGGAACAATGTTATGGTTTAATTTTAGTTAAAAGGGACAACATTTTGTTTCAAAGCTGCAAGAAGGGTTTTTGTGTGCTCCCAACTTTCCAGTTCAACAGTTGAGCCTGAACATTTGCTTTGTAAGTCAAAGGCCTTGGGAATTGCCAGGGGTTTTAAAGAAATGCCAACAGCTTAAACCTGCCTGGCTCAAACAGTCCACAAAAAGAGAAATCCATCCTCAAGAGATTTTGCCTGAAGCAAGTGCAGAGTGTGCAGATGAACGGGGAAACTCATGGGGCTGCCCGGTGCAGGGGAACCTCTTGCCCCATGAGGAACAGGGACAATGCCACAACATTGCAACAAATACATAGGCGAAAGGAAGCCTTTTGTCAGCCCCCTCCTCCATCCGTGCTCCCGACAAGGCTCCCGCTGGGGAATAACCTCACGCTCGCCAGGGCAAATGCTCTCTGCCTTGCAGACCACAGCCCAGGTCAGAGCGTGGTGCATGGGGTGAAGTCTGAGCCGCACCCCGGGGGCCGTGGGACCAGCCAGCTCCGCTACTTGCTGTTCGGGGTTTGCTTCTCCTGCGCCGGCCGCTTGTGCTTCTGCGCGACGCCGTAGGGGACATGGGCAGCGATGGTGCCCATCTCCTTGGCTCCCTCCACGTGGAACATCTGGTCATCGAAGAAGATGTGAGGACGGATCTTCTTCAGCAGCGGCCCCTTGGGAGCTCCGGCCAGGAACAAAGCCTCATCCGTCTCCAGGCCCCAGCTACGCAGAGTCTTTAGGGCCCGGGCTCCCGAGCTGGCCGCACTCCTGGCAGGGACCAGGTAGGTGCGAATGGGACACTCCATCCTCAGCCCCTTGGAATAGAACTTCTTCTGCAGCTTCCCCAGGGCCTCCAGGAAGCCCTTCAGGGGTCCCTGCCAAAGCAAGAAGAAACCATCACTTTGCAGACCTCTGTGCTATCCCTTCCTCGAGGCACCCGGTCCCCAGACATGCTGGCTAACCCCTTCTCCCTGTGAGCCCCCAGAAACGACAGCAAGGGACCAGCCGCAGCCATCCCATGCACCAGCAGTACCAGGCTGCTGACCCACCCCAGCTCACACTCCACGTGCCAACCCCGGCTTGTTGCCAGAGGCGAGAGCATCCCTGCGGGCTGTCTCCCTCCCAGAGGCTTTTTCTGGCTTCACCCCAGCACTACCTGTGCCAGAGGCTTGTTCTCGTGAGCCTTTTCATGCTCAAAGAACATGTCCAAGCCGTGAGCCTTCACAATCTGCTCCGACTCATCAGAGAAGAGCACGGCGTCACCATCAAATGCCACCCGCAGCTGGTTCTCTGACACTTCCACGTCTTTGCTGGGGCTGAAGATGGTGGCTGCAGCGATCCCTGTGGAGGTAAAGCGTGAGGCAAGAGCTGGCAGTTACCCCAGGACCCATCCTTGTGCCTTATCCATTAAGGAGCAGAGAAAACACGACAGGCTGGAAGCAAACACTGCAAGGAAATGCATGCACTCAGTAGTGCCTACAGCTTGGCCCCCAGACCTTTTACAGCAAAAACAAATCCCCAGATGACAAACCTCCCTTTGCATACAAGAATTAACAGGGGGAAAACAGTGCCTTTGCCTTAGAAGAGCTGTGGAGCTCGAGAAAAACCTGATTTCTATGGAAACTAGAGGCTCTTTGGAGCATCAAGGATGGGATAAGGCAGACCCTAGCTGCACATCGACACAGGGACAGGGACATTGGAGCTATCGCTCCTGGCACCAACCCCCTGAGGGCTCCAGGCTCCCCCCGCTGCCCACCCCCAAAGCTGGACCCCAGACTCACCCTCTTCAATGGCCCCACTCACTTTCTCAGCATCAGAGGAGAGGTAGAGGTTGGTGTGATAGGCCTTGAGGTAACAGATGGGGCTGTTCCCTCCCGTCATGCAGAACCTCTCAATGAACAGACCTGAGGGCAGATGGACCCCGGGGTGAGCCTGACCGCCCCCCAAACAAGCCTTGACGCTGCTCCCCTGTGGCCTCCCAAGACTCGGCAGGATGGAGGCTCATCTTGGTACTGCCGTTCAACAGCATGGCCAGCAGCCAGAGCATCCTCACCACCAGCCAACTTCCACTCAAAGCCCAGGAAAGCTGGCAGAAGCGGGCTCAGCGTGTGGTTTGGAGGAAGAGCCAGGAGAATCTTGCTGTCAAGCAATCTTCTCTTGTCAATCTTATCTTGCTGCCAAGCAATAACACTCTGCCTAAAAGCCGTCGTCGGCACCCGCGCAAAGGACAGCTTTGCTCTCAGCTTACCATAGTGGTTGATGCTGTTGATCAAGCGAACTCCAACCTGGGCATGGTTGTTGGTCATGAGGACGATGTCGAAGAGTTCCTCGCTGTCGGGGTAGAGCTCCCGCAGCTGCATGTTCACTGCTTCCAGCGCCTGCAGCACCCCAGGGGGAGGGGGGTGGGTGTCAGCGAGCCCCAGGCATGGCCCTGATCCCTTCTCACTGAGCAAAACACTTCTCTTCACCAAAACCAGGGATCTGGTCCGACCCCAACTACACCCTGAGCCAAGCTGACACCAGCAAGCAGCTTTAGCTGGGAAAAAACCACTGCTTTGGGGGGAAAAACCACATAGCTACTCTTCTATTTTCAAACACAAAAGGTTTCACATTTTCATTAGGAGGTGAGAATAAATTAGCTCAAAGTTACAGACAAGTGTTTTTTCAAGCAATCAGAAACAGAACAAGTCTCTCCCCTCCAAGTGGATTAGTTTATTCATCGGGAACGGGCAAAAGATTGCTTCAGTGAGGGCCAGCACACAAAACTGCGCTAAATCCAGTGGAACTGGGGCAGAAATTGGAAAATATTTTTAAAGTTTGAAATGCCTCATTTCAACATGTCAAAATTAGAAGCTGGCCGACTCTGTAGCAAGGCTAAATTCAGCCAATATAAAAGCATAAATAAATTGTGATTAAAAAAAAAAAAGATATGAGAATTCCCTAAAGGGAAACTTTAAATATGATTCAAAGAGATGATTTCTTCCATTCTTGGGCTCAGTTGCCAATTTGGAAAACTCAGTGTTTCCTCAGTCCTGGAAGAAGCACATCACTTGCCAGAAGGTTTATTTGACCTCTGTTTGCTCTATGGTTACATCCCTTCTGTCGCACTGCTCAGTTCCCATCCCTTCCCCACACAAGCACCCTATAACACTGCCCTCTCCCCAAAACTTTTGGGTCAGGACCACAGTGCAGATTCAGCTTAGGCAGGTGTGTGCTCACCTTGACAAAGGGGAAGGCAGCTCCAGGGAGGAAGGGCTCATTCTCATGGTCCAGCTGATATTTCACGTAGGCCTCCACCCCTTGCTCGTTGTAAATCTTCTGCTCCTCTTCCATGCGGAAAAGCGCTCGCGATGACACCGCGATGGTGATGGCGTTCTCGGGCTTCGGCTGCAGGGAAAGGGAGAAAATGGGGAGGCAGCCCCTGCACCCAGCCTCGCTGCCTGAGAAGGCATCTGTTAACTTTCAACGTGAAAGGCCACGGGGTGGGTGACACCCCCATAGTGATTTGGAGGATAACGGGGCAGCTGCAACTCTCATCTTCCAATGCTTCAACAGATGAAGCCCTGATGCACCATCCCCACACATTCGGGATACCCAAGAGCCTTTTTCTGCTGCTCGTGCCATACCCAAGCCCTCCCACTGCAAACAGGCTCCCGGGACCCATCCAGCTCCAACGTGCTACCCCAGGAGAACCACTCAACCCCATGCAGAAGGAATTTGTGTGGCTTTTCCCCCCAGCTCCAGCCAGGAAAAACCACACACTGCGGCTCGGCCAGATCCGTACTCCCACAATGCTGTCCAGATGTGATAAACAACCCGTGCCAGCTCAGCTTATAAAAACACTTGCTATAGTTATTGTGGGCGGAAACATGACAAACAGGTGGTGCAAGCAATGATTTATGAGTCATTATTATTAATGTTCGAGGGCTTGATCCAAAAACCACTGAAGTCAACAAGGGGGCTCCGGTGGGACTTGGCAGCGAGAGAGGGGACACCAGGAAAGTCAATCTCATCTTGACCCCCACCCGTCCTCCCTCTCCCTTGGAGGGCAGAAGGGTGTTAATCCCCATCACTCACTTGCAAGCATGAAAGCAAATTCATTACTGATGGCCAACAAGAAATCCTCGCTCCCAGAACAGCAAATCCTAAGGAGGGACAGTGGCAGAGGCAGCCCCGTACAGCAGACTCTGCCTGCAGCGAGTCCTGGGAGCGGGACGGGGCTTGAGGGTTCACATGGGGGATGCTCCCCGCGAGCTGGGAGCCCATCCGCTCTCTGCCTGCGCTCAGGGATGCATCTCTGCAGTGAGCCTGTGAAATCCAGGCCATCAGCACTTCAGAAACATCCCACCCTCAGCTCCTCTGTGATTTCCAGGATGCTCGTGTAGCACATTGCCCACTGAGTAACCCTCCCAGGAGCAGGACGGTGCCTTCGCCAGCCGCTCCGCACACCCAGGTGCTCCAAAGTTCAAGCTCCCACCCTGCCTAGGGCTGAGCTTTACAGAAAGAGCAGCCTGGCAAGGACAAGGTACCCCATCCACATTGGGGATCTTCACTCCCTACAGGGCTGGGCCTGCCCTGGGGCTTGCTTTGCCCCCAACCCAGCCCTCCTGATCCTGCCCAGCATGAGTCAATGGCAGCCCCCAGGCCATTCCCAGCAGCACCACCAAGAAGCGGTGGGGGGGTCCCTGCAGCACAGTCGGTGCCAGACACCTCTCCAAGGCCGCATCGGCACCCAAAATCCCCAGCAAGCCGATCAAGCAGTAGGTGATCAGGACTAGACACAGATTAGCTCAGGCTGAGAACATCACTGTGCCCAGAGGGATCCCTTTCCCACAGCATTTGTGGAGAAATAAGGTCCCATTTGGAAGCGGCTCTTTTGCAAAAGCAGGCGAAGAAGCCCCAGGACACGCGGGATCACCCGGGTCCACGCAGAAGCTGTTCAGCAACACCAGCATCGCTCCCACAACCGAACCACAGCCAGGTCCCCATCTTACATTTAGCTCCCCAATGGGTGTTAGCTATTAACTCGTCATGGGCCAAGTCTTGGCACTCCAACTCATTAATTAATAACTCTGGTGACATGGGCCATTTATTAGCCGACAATATTAATAACTATTAAAGGTCTTGGGACATCCGGCCATTAGCCTTCAGCAAGGAGTCCTACCGCTCCCAAGTCCCTGCAGCACTGGGCTATTTATCTGGGTACGTAGTGTTTGCTCCCCGCTCCTGGTCCCCCAGAGACCGCAGGGCAGAGCATCCTCCGCAGCCAGCCCTGCAGGAGGGATCCCCAGCAGAGAAAGCAGCTCAGGAGCACGCACAGCACAGAGGTATTTTCAAGGGCGTGAGATGTGTGTGCATGGCCCTAAGCCGAGCCTAATGCCCAGCCTGAATTTGCATCTCTATCTCCCCGCGGCACACACCTTGTACCCGTCAAGAGCCCAGGCACCTTGCGCAACAGCAACAGGCTGCTCAAGGTCCCGTCCCTGCCATTTAAAGGCACCAGCCTCCAGGAGGTTAATTTAAGAGGTAATAAACACAGTAATAAAAATAACCGTAAGCTTGGGGCCTAACTCAGCTGCTGGAGCCCCAGCTGCCTGCGGGTGGGAAGCCCGGCCTTCGGGAATGGGACCTGCCGGATCCTGTTCGCTCCTGCCAAGGAAGATTTGCACCTTCGGAGCACTTTCTGCAGGAAAGTCTCACCTGGGTGTTAACGCAGCTCCCAGCTCTGGCTGGGCTGGAACAGCCTTGCTGTTCTCTGGGAAATGCTGACATTTAAAAAATACGGCAATTCTGCTCTGCAAGGAGGGAGCCGCATTTTGACATTTCTTTGAAGTGGAGGTTTCATTTGGAAGCGTTCCCTCCTCAGGGTTGTTTGGATGCTTCTCCATCCCCACTAGTACTGCAGATGATCATTACTACATTCAAAAATGGGCTTTAAAAAGTCACAGCACTACAAGAACCACAGCACCTCAAATCCTCCATCAGGGTGCTACGAACAACCCAACAAACCCCACTTTGCCTTGAAACGTCACGGGTTTTGGGGAAAACACCCTTCATTTTTTAAAGGAAGCGTGTGCATAGGAGGGGTCCCACTCACAGTCCTCGCCGGGATGCATTTAGTCCCACGAGCTGTCGCGGAGCCTGCACAGCACCCCATCCCAACACAGCCTCCTGCTCCGGCTGCCCCAGCCCCGGTGGGTTTGGGCACTTGGAATGACAAACCCTGTTTTACCCTCAGAGCAGCATCCAAAGTCAGCCAAGGTCAGTAAAAGCTCACGGCACAAGCCCAGGAAGCGGCTGTGGGGCTCCGCTCAGCCAAATCCAACTGAATTTGCTGCCTGGGGATTCACGGTGAGCTCCTCTCCCTTCCCACGGGAAGCTCAGATCCAGCCCCATCCTGAACATCAAGCAAGAGGTTAACAATGTGTTTAACAGAATCCGAGTAGGGCAGCATGGGGGAAGGTCCCATCCCAGCCCCGGGTCCAGCCAGACAGGAGGGACGACAGGGATATGTCCTGACAGCCCAGCCCTCTGAAGAGGAACATCAGCCCTTGGCACAGCTCCAGGTGGTCCATGAGGTCCAACCCCCATCTCAGAAGCATAAGTGACCTTTCCAGCAGGCTCCAGCTCCATGAAGTGCAAAACCCATCGCAGACCCAAACACCCCAGTTTTGGGGTAAAGCCGTATTTCAGTAGTCACTGGAAATGGCACATTTTCCTCTGCAGACCCAACAGCTGGCAGGCCTTTAAATCGCCCTTCTAATCAGATGTAAATCCTAAGCAGCCCCCCAAGGATTAGAGGCAGACATTTGGAAATCCCACATGCTACCGGGATGTGCAATGGGGCCATGCCCACTCACCCACGAGAGCCACAGGTGCCCACAGTGGCACCCAACACCAGTGGCTTCACTGCCACCCCTGGCTGGCTCTGAGGCAGGAGCCACAGTGGGGACCCCATTCTGCACCCCTTGATCCTTCTGCATTGCCTGGGGCTGAATCTGCCGGAGCCACCTCGATCCTAAAAATCTGAAGGAACTCTGGCAGCGCTGGGCACTTCCCTGGATGCTGCAGAAGCCCAAATCCTTGTGGCCAAATTCAAAATCTGGTGGTGAGTTTTGGTGTGAGATTTAGTCATAGAAAGGGAAGAGGTCAAACATGGTCCCCACCCCAGCTAAAGCACCCCAAAAATGAGGCACCCTGGTGAGCTGGATGGGTCCCCACGGGTGCAGGGGACAAGCAGGGTGCCCAGAGGAGAGGAGCCAGCAGAAGGGCAGCTCCCACCGACCCAGCCTCTCCTCCCCGTGCGGCGCCACTGGAGAGGCTGGGGGACATTTTCCACATTGCTGAAGAGTGACAAGTCTCATCGCCGACCTCCTCAGCTGGCAGGAGCGAGGCCGGAGCAGGCGTGCGAGCTGGGGCGTGGGAAGAGCAGAGACCCCTGCAAAGTGGGGAGCCTCGTGGGCTGCGGGGATGCTCTGTTAACCCACTTCCCGGCCAGGAATGGGCTCCCCAACATCACCCTGCCTTCCAGGAGGGAGCAGCCCCCACAGCTCACGCCTGCTCCCTCACCGGTACCTGCTCCGGCTGGCAGAGACGTGAGGACGGACAGACCCAGCACCCGCAAGGGTGCAGACGGACAACATCAAACTCCACTTCCCACATGCACGAGGAAGCCCTGGGCGGCCGCGAGCCCCCTGCTCGGGATCAGATTAAAGTTCAGGGCAATGGCTGAGATGTTT